AAGATCATCCTGAAACTAATAATTTTAAAATATTAATTGAAAAAAAAAAACTGAACGATTTTCCCGGCATGATAATTTTTAACTTATCCCTATCTTCCAAAACCATCCAGTAGATATTTCTTAGATTTCAAAAATAAGGGAAAAAGAAAAAGGGGCAGACATTTAGGGGGTGTAGAGGAACCTCAAAATCAGAACAGAAAACAAATACTCAAAAATGATGTATAAAGATTTACGATAATCCGATAAAAGCTCAAACAATAATTTTTCCAGGATCCCCTATTTTCAAGCGATCCGAGCCACGATTCAAATTAAAACGAAACGAAGCTACAAAAACCAAAACGAAATGGATCAGTCACCAGACTCAAACGTACAAATACTCGCAATAAAATTTCCAGGCCCGAAGAACAGATCCAACAACAGACGGTACTCCTCAAAATCAAACACACCACAAATTTCAAAATCCAAAAAGTAAAAACAAAATATCATCCAATCCAATAGCAGCTAAGATCATTCCGGAAGCAATCAAAACATTTCCAAAACTTGCTATTCCGTTGGATTACAAGAACATCGCGAATCGGAGAATCAAATAGAGCGAAATCTTACCAAAAATTGGGGCGAAGAAGGAAGTCAATCATGATTCAACGAGCCATCGAGATCGATCTAGAGCTTCGAAGAGAGTGTTTTTGACTCGGAAGAGTGAGAAACTGCGAATAGAGAGAGCTCGTTCTTCATCTCCAACCCCAATGTATTTGCTTTCTCATGGAAAATTAAAATGAAAAAAAAAAACAAAAACAAAACTTTATTAATTATTATTATTTTCCTCGTTTGAGAAAATCGCCTATCCAATATCAGCAAAAGAAAACTCGGGAGAGAGAAAAAGAAGCGAAAGCGCACTGAGTAATATTCCGCTACTCCTCATCTGCACACATAATTTTGCTCCACCCAATAAGCTCCAGCCACGTCATCCATCAGGGGCACATCCGTCATTTTGGGCTCACGCAATTCGTTGGATCACGATAAGAGAATGAGAGTGCACAGAGGAATAATAATTTAACCGCAAACCCATTAGTGTGAAATTCCAGGCAAATTCATCCTAAATTCACTCGACATGAAAGTTAAAAGCGGACGGAGCAGCAATCCAGTGCGGCTGGCTCGTATTACGCCCCGTACGCGTCCGGCCCACGTG